GAAGCTGCTGCCCAAGGGGACACGGGAGCAAGTACCACCTTGTGAGCCCTCTGCCGCTGCTGGTGCTGCCGCTGCTGCTGCTGGTGCTGCTGCCGCTGCTGCTGCTTCGCACACGGAAAGCTGACGGCTTGTCACCTGCTGGTGCTGTTGCTGCTGCTGCTAGATTTGCAGCAAAGCTTCCGCCGCCGCGCTGCTGCAGCAAAGGGGCCTTGTCTAGGGCCTGCAGCAAATCAACAAGAAGGCAGCTGCGTTTGCTGCAGACAGCCACAATAAGAGTCCACAAGCCCCCGCTGGGGTCCTCAATTTGCTGCTGCTGCTGCTGCTGCTGCTGCTGTTGTAGCTCCTGGTCCCAGCTCTCGTGTGGCTGCAGAGCCAGTTGCTGCTGAAGGGGGCGTGCTGCTGCTGCTGCTGCTGCTGCTGCCTGCGCCTCCTCTGCCACCTGTACTGCTGCTTCCACGTCGCTGCAGCGCAGCAGCAGCAGCAGCACAGCTTCTTCTACTCTGCCCAGCCGCTGCAGCAGGAAAGCAGCAGCACGAGGGACTTCAGGCTTCAATGAAGAGAAGCATGTTCGCAAACTCTGCAGCATGTCTTCGGGAGCGCCTGCTGCTGCTGCGTCCGCTGCTGCTGCGTCTGCCGCTGCGGCGTCTGCTGCTGCTGCGTCCGCTGCTGTTGCGTCTGCTGCTGCTGCGTCTGCTGCTGCGGCGTCTGCTGCTGCTGCTCCTGTCGATGCTGCTTCGCCTGCTGCTGTTGAGTCGCCTGAAGCTGCTGCTGCTTCGCACGCTGCTGCTACCACGGCTGCTGCTGCTGATGCTTCGGTCACTTTTTCTGGCTCGTCTGCTGCTGCTGCTTCTGCTGTTGCCGGCTTCTCACCGGCTGCGTCTGCTTCTGTTGCTGCTGCTTCCTCAGCTGTTGCTGCTGCTGCTGCTGCTCCGGCTACTGCTCCGGTTTCGGCTACTGATGTCTTGTCTGCTGCTGCTGCTGGTTCGGCGTTTGCTTCTGCCCCCGATGGTGCAGCAGCAGCAGCAGGAACTGCTGCTGCTGCTGCTGCTGCTGCGGGCGCCGCATCTACTGTCGCCTGTGCTGGACCATCGCAAGATGGAGCAGCAGAACTGTCCTGTTTCGGCTGCTGCTGCTGCTTCTGCTGCTTCTGCTGCTGCTGCTGCCGCTCCTGGAGCAGCAGCGCGTAGGCTTGGTCGTAGTCGTAGCTGCCGTCTGCAGCACGAAGAAAGTCCAGCAGCAAAAGAGGCTCCAGCATGAGGTAGAGTTTGATCTGCAGCAGCAGCAAACCGCAGGAGCAGCGCAGCAGCAATAGCCACAGCAGCAGAAACTCAACGCGGTAAACGAACACAGCACTAGTAGTGACCGCAGCAGCAGCAGCAGCAGCAGCAGCAACAGCACCCAGCAGAAATCCAGGTAAGAGGAAGCTAGCGAAGCTGCAGCAAGGTACAGGTAACCACAGCAGCAGCAGCAACAGCAGCAGCAGCAGCAGAAGCTGCAGCAGGCACACCTGCAGCAGCGAGAAGGCCTCAACAGCAGCAGGACTGGCGCTGTAGGCAGCTTTTAAATACAAGTGCAGCAGCGGGGCGCAGCAAACTAGCGGGGGCACCACAGCATCAGCAGCAAATAAAAGGGACCCCCTGCTGCTGCTTTGCCCGCAGACGCTGCAGCTGCAGCAGCAGCTGCTGTTGCTGCTGCTGCTGCTGCTGCAGCTGCCGCTGCAGCAGCAAATCGAGGAGACCACTGGCTGCGCGAGCCACGGCTTTGCTGCATTCAGCCGCAGACACAGCAGCGCCAAAGCTTCTGCTGCGTCCAGCTGCAGCAGCTGCAGCGCCATGTCGGGCACAGCAGCAGCAAGTGCAGCAGCAGCACTTTCTAGCGACGGCAGCAGCCTCTGCTGTTCTTCCTGCGCAGTCCCCGCTGCTGCAGCAGCAGCAGCAGCAGCTGCTGCTGCTGAGGATGTTTGGTCTGCAGCTGATCCGTCGAGGCAAGAAGCTGCTGCTTCGCTTGGCTGCGTGAGCACGCGGTGTATGTACACTGCAGCACGAGGGGACTGCAGCAGCAGCAGCGCTTTTGCTGCGCAGCAAAACAGCCGCAGCTGGTGAGCCATAAGCACGCAGGCCTGCAGCAAAGGTTCACAAAGGGGGTTCGTCAGCAAGACAGTGCTCTCTTGCTGCTGCTGCTGCTGCTGCTGCAGTCGCTGCAGCACGCGCTCGTGAGCCTCGAGCGCGGTCTCTTGAGGGCTTGTGGGGCCCCAAGGAGAGAGGCAGCGCA